ATACTATTGACTACAGGGCATGGAATAACAAGTTCAAATCTCTATAAGTTGTGGGTTATTAAAAGCAATTATCTTTTTTATAATTCACTTTAAAAAACATGACTTATAGACATTTGAACTTGTCTTTTATTGTACATTTGTAGCCTTTCTAATTAATACAACTACATTAAATGTTATTATTTACATTCCAGGTTTATGTAAGCAGTGCATGAAATAAGGCCCGTTCGATGGCCTGAGATGGGCTAGGTTTCTGATGGATGGTCTAGTAAAATCTTTTAGATGTCCCATACATCTGAATAAATTCACCAAATCTGATTATGTCAGGATAAATTCCATTTGGGCTGGTAACATTTTGCAATTACCAACCCTGATGTCTGGCTGGTTTTTTTTGGCTTATTTCATACACTGATGTAAGGATACTTTACAAGCAAATGGGTTATGAAAGTTTCATACTATATTAATGTACCTATTTCATTTCAAAATGTAAATACAATATGTGATATTACATAATCACATTTCTGGTCAGCATGCAATAAAAGCGACTAAATAATAATACTTTCCTGTTCCTCTTATTTACATCATTAAGCTGCTATAAAGGGTTCAACGAGTTTCCGAGTTGCATGCACACCAAAAATGTGATTATGTAACATCACAAATTGTATTTTCTTTTTTAATATGAAGGTTTTTTTTTGTAAAGTATTTTATTCACTTTACTTGGTTACATTTGAACAAGATATGTGGGTAGAATTGAAAGACTAAAAATAAATTACAGGACTGCATCTAGGACATTCCATTTTCTGTAAAAATGTTTCATATTATTATTATTATCGCTTTTCTTCTCATAAATTTCTCTCTCTAGATATCTTTTAATAATGTTCTGTAGATGGTGAGGCTAGGTTTGTGTCCTTTATATTCATTACTTAAAATGTGGCTCTTTGCCAATAGTATCATGTGGTTGAGTAAGTGGTTACTACTGGAACAAAAATAGAATATCATGGTTTGACATTTCATAACGCTTACCAAGGACTTGAGTTATAAAATTGTTAAATTCTGACCAGAACATTTTGATGGTTGGACAATCAAGGTATACATGGTAAATATCCTCACTTACTGAACCACAAAATGTACATAGGTCATTATCTATCAATTTCATTTTTAGTAATTCTCGCTTAGTGTAAATGACTCTATGCAAAACTTATATTGAAAAAATCTAAGAGTTTCGTGTTCTTTAGTGCATTGTCTATATTGAGAAAATATGGTTTTCCAATTTAACAACTCATTTAGTTCCCCTCGCTCCATTTGAGACACACATTCGAATGTTATAATCAGATATAAAATTATCATAGAATATCCTTGAACCTTTTACTAGGTTTAGTCAAATCGCTCCAAGGAGAGCACATAGATAATCCATCGCATATTAAAATTGTTATTTGTTCGTGATAACGCTCTTTCCACTGTTTGGGGTATACTAAGGAGAACCCGACAAAAGTCAAGTACAGTACCTTTAATACCAAGTTTTGCCTTAAGTTCCATGTAATGTTAGAAATGCGTGGTCGCTACAAATATCTTTAATATAAACTATTATACATTTAATCCAGTTATGAATGATCAAACTTGGCTGGTTACACTGGTGATTTAACCATAATGGCTGCATGAGTATTTCACTAATGTCGTGTATTGTTACATATACCCATCTTTTAACATATCTATGCCAGGCATCAAGAGAATCTTTCCAAAATGGATTTTTAATATTATAATGTTTTGTGATGTTGGCTCCTAAAAAAAAGAAGGTTTTGTAGAGGGAAACCCGCAGAGCATAGTTCTTAGGTTTTGAAATATATCTCTTCAAACATGAAAGTTTTAGAGAGTCGATAAATGTTTTCACGCCGAATTCACTCTTAGACCACCTTCTTCAGACCTTCGACTAAATTAATTCGCTTTTATTTTATCAATTTTATCATTCCATATAAATTTGAAGAATAATCTGTTTAAATCAGTAATAAATGTTTTTTTGGGGATTAGGAGAGAAGAGAAGATGTGGACAATCGTGGATAAAGCTAAACTTTAACGACGGTTATTTTCCTATCAACGCTAAATTCATGCTTCTTTCCAATTCAGTAGAATTCTTTTATATTTTCGAGTCTCTTCTTTGTATTAATTACCCATAGGTTTTCTAAATGAGCATTTAATTTGATTCCCAATACTAAAATTCTCATTATGCCAATCCATCTTATAGTCCTGGATAGGACTATTTTACTACCTGCCATTGAGCCTAGCCATACTACTTTTGTTTTATCAATATTTATTTTCAAACCTGACATCTTGTAAAAGGAAAGCAAAGTTTTCATAGCTTCATTAAGAGAGGTTTCGGAACCGTCCAAAAATAATTCAGTGTCATCTGCATATTGACCAATAACATGTTCGATGTCGTTTAAAACAATTCCTTTTATTCTGTGGTTGTCTCTGATCATTATTCCTAGTATTTCTGCTACCAATAAGAATAAATATGGAGATATGGGATCACCCTGTCTACATCCCCTTTCATTTTTAATATGAAGTTGGTGACAGTTTAAAGGAGCATGACAGGAATATTGTTCAATATTTTCTACACACGTTTCACATTTTCATCTGAGATGAGGCATAAGCTCTCCCACTTATTTCATTCTGAAATAATTAGGGACCGTTCATAATTTATGAATAGGGGTGATGATGATTTTAAGGGGGTCACCCATTTTGTTCTGAGGAGGTAGGGGTGTCATCAATTTTGTACACGCTTTCTAGGGGGTCAGCAATTTTGTACATAAACATTTAAAAATTATGCTTTAAAAATATGGAAAGGGGAAGGGGGGGGCATTGACTTTGCACATGACATGCAGGGGGTCACTTATTTTGTACATACATTTTAGGGGGGTCATTCACATTGTACATGCTTCTCTATAAAAATCATCATCACCCCCCACTAGCCATAAATTATGAACGGTCCCTTATGCCATATAAGTCTGGTGTCACATTTGTTTCTCAAATTGTGTAGGTCAGCACAATAATGAGATGGAAAGTTATCAATGATCATTACTGTTAGATTTAATATGATAACGACAGTAATGGCGCGCGCGCGCACGCACACACACACACACACACACACAAAAAAAAAAGCTCCTGTGTATTTTCCACTTCAATATCAGAACATAATTCTCTTAAATGTATAGGCATGCAAAATATCTATTTCCTTATAAACTCTCTCCTGCTGTGATATTGCTAGAATATTGCTAAAAGCGGCATAAAGCTAAACTCAATCAATTTTATAAACTCTCACAAATAGCAAAACACACATATCCTGTAAGTTTTATACATCATTAAAATAATTAGATTATAAGATGATCTAATTTTCATGAAGCTGTTGTTAGTTTAACAATTCAGTATATTATTACATAAAACACAGTGCAGAAGTGGCCAATGCCCATATTTGATACAATTAACATTTTTTACACATAATAGCATATGAATATACTAAGAAAGTGTAATCCCAAATATAACATATGTTACATATCAGCATATTTCATGACTCATACATATGTTGTCAAAAGGAATAAAACTTAGCTATATTCTGTAATATCAATACCTATTACTAGACAGTCATATTTCAGGTTGAAGAGCAACCCCTTGTGGTAACAATGGGTGGGTGGATGGATGAATGGATGAATGAACATTTAAACAACAGTAAAGTGACACCTAAATTGAATGGATGAATGAACATTTAAACAACAGTAAGGTGACACCTAAATTGAATGGATGAATGAACATTTAAACAACAGAAAGGTGACACCTAAATCCAGCCCCCACAACCATAACATTAATTGGTTGTTCCCTTATTGTAAGCTAGAAACATGCAGTAACAATAGTAATGACACGAATCAGTAAAGCCGACAAAAATGAATTACATTCCGTATCAGTTTTCACGTATCTATTTTTCATGCGCTGATATATTTAGCAACTACGGACATCGTCAAAGGAGCGTTGCCATTGGTAGATTTGGTGAAAAAGTAGTTAAAAAGAAGTACAGGAATAGCGAAGGTGAATTTGCTGGTATAATAATTGTTTGTCGACTAAATATACAGTTGAAAGCAAAACGTTTAATTCTCCGTCATGTTTATCCTATATCAAATCGCGACATATGTTTGCTCTTCATAATTATTGATCAATTCAATACATAGTTGAAATATCACTGTCATTCCATTTGCTGAGGGTGATATTACTGATAACTCTACAGAAAACACTGTCATTCTACCTCATATCACTGTCATTCCCTTTACTGAGGGTGATATTACTGATAACTCTACAGAAAACACTGTCATTCTACCTGATATCACTGTCATTCCCTTTACTGAGGGTGATATTACTGATAACTCTACAGAAAACACTGTCATTCTACCTGATATGACTGTCATTCCCTTTACTGAGGGTGATATTACTGATAACTCTACAGAAAACACTGTCATTCTACCTGATATGACTGTCATTCCATTTACTAAGGGTGATATTACTGATAACTCTACAGAAAACACTGTCATTCTACCTGATATGACTGTCATTCCATTTACTGAGGGTGATGTTTCTGATAACATTACAGAAAACACTGTCATTCTACCTCATATCACTGTCATTCCATTTACTGAGGGTAATATTACTGATAATTTCACTGAAGAATAACGAATGACAAGGGAGACTTCATTGTGCAAAAATACATTTGTCATTCGTCATTCAGATTAGGGAGACCCGAATTCTCCATGGTGTTTATCCTGTTCTGGTCGTATCCCTGTTTTGGTCGCTACGTAGGTACATATGTACATTGATAAGGGCCAACACATGCTGACGCCTTGTGCATCTGCGATTCAGACCACAAGGCATCTCAGAGTAATTATTGGTACAATAACAATATAGGCTTCATCCGAAAAAAGAAAACCCGTCTTAATAAAGAAGTCAAATTTCGACTCAATACTCACAGAGTTGTTCTTGAAAGCAGGACGAACGCAATGTCACTGTGAGCAAATGTATTTCCAACCCAGGTGTGATATTTAAGCCTGCGCAGCGATCGATGCACCGAGATTTCACTTGGCGGGGTGAATAGTAGGCAGCTAGGTTACAAAGGTGATTTTTATGTGCATTACCCAATCGGCAGCCCGAACTGTCTGTAAACGTGAGCAGCGGAATTTGGGTCACATAGACTGGCAACGAGCCTCCCTCACCAGATGGCGTATTTTCAAACAGTGTGTGGGGGTGACGCAACCTGCCAACATCTCATCAGCTGTCTAAGATCTCTCGTGCAGTCTACCGGAGAGAACTAAAGAATTCTCCACAATAACGTGGAAGCATCTTCAGAATTTTTAATTATTTTGTACTCGGCAATTCCCCCTCAAGCAAAACCCCTCGGTTTGCCAATGTACCCAGATCCTATGGAATAAAATTTACCAGTTTAATTTGACTAAAATTGACTTTTAAGCAAATATGTTCCTCGGCGTGAAGAGGCTTTTCTCACACTGTCAACATATTCTCATTACCAGTGTTCGCCCTCGGCTTACCATGACTTAAACGTCACACATGTATAGAATACGTTTTTATTACTCACCCGTTGAAGATATCACTGTTTAATAATTTTACAATGTTACTGTGGAAGATACTGCAGTGTAATATTTTTACGACAATATTACACTAGTGTAATACCGCTAGACGTATGACGCCATAATGTTTTACAGTTATGACTTCACAATGCTAATACCTCTGTCACAATTGTATTAGACCTTACTTGACTCGTGGAAAGCTGACAGTCATCACACTTCGTAGGCAGTTTCTATCAGTTTATGTTGGAGAGTAATAAACAGAATACTAAACTCGCTTCCGTGAAATATCATTTTTATTAAACAAGTGAAAGATTTAGCATCAAACTCGCTTTCGCTCGTTTGATACCAAATCATTAACTCGTTTAATAAAAAAAAAATACACGGAAGGTCGTTTAGTATCCTCTATTTATTACCCACGTGGTCAACGTATGGGTAGTTGCATACTAATCTAAGGCTTAGTCTCTGAATATATATAATTTTGATAGTAACAAACAAGCCCATTTATATTGAAAAGGAGCCCAAGGGAGACCAGAGATTCAGAACCTGAGGAAATCTAGACTTGCTTTATTTAGAGCTTTGGCACTGCACAGAGGGCTTGGCAGTGGGGAAATTAATGTGGTTCAGGACTGTGAGACAGACTAACTAATCTCGTACGTCACACGAGTGTCGTATCGCGTTGACCTGTGTTGTAACGACTTGACATGAGACTCTAACGTTTGATTGGATAACCGATGACCTCTCAGTTGGGTCACATACACACTCCGGCACAGCGATGACTTCGCATAACATCACTGCCACAGGCTAATTTGCATTGCATGTGACCGGACTTTTCTCTTGTTTGTAATCAAACGCGCATATTCATAATAAGAAGAGACTGGACTCACGAAAGCTTTTCGGCGCTCTCTTCATATTGTTTTACATTGTTACATATATATCTTCCACAACTGCGACAGTAAGGTCTATGACAGTACATATTTAGATATCAAACTGGCTGCATCGTTTGCTCTCCATCAGCTTCGATGACAGCACGTGGAGCCGTACAACCTATGTAAACAAAGGATCGCTACGCAAATGGAAATAGTTAAAACTAGTGTTACATGTTTTTGGATACTTCTCAGTGAAACTAAACCATTCTATTAAAGATGTTTAGTTAGTTGTGTAGACTCGTCAAAATAAAAGAGTTAAAGAAATCTGTACATTATATTGAATGGACATTGCAAGATGTGACGAATCGTCACATTTTTCTGGCCTGTGGCAGAGATACCATGCTGGCTTGCCTCATGGAACTCTGGGTAGGGGGGTGGGTCACATACTGACGTAACTATTGTTTCATTCATAACAAACACGTGGATTCATTCATTCTACAACTTAAATGCATTGTGGGAATGTAAACATTGCAAACGTTGCCTAGTCGCTGTTTAATTGTGAGTCGAACTGAGACATTATATCCGTCGAAAAACATAAACGCAATGTTTCCACCAGTGATGTTAGCCGAATGAAGCAACTACAAACCAAGAAATGGGGTGCTACGGAGTAGCTAGTTTACTGTAGGAGGCTGTACGATGACAACTGACATGCATCCTGACGTCGGTTACCAAGGCAGTGACGTCATTACAGTGTGACGTCATGCAAATATTTTACTACAGTACAAAACTCTTCCGCAACCTCTTTATTAAACCGGTTTCGGTTTGAACCCAAAAAATAACAAAAATACTCTAGTTTGTCATTTTAATGCATGTAAGACGTGGGTAATAAATAAAATACCACACTCGGTCTCATTACATACGAATTATACGAAACTCGTGACCTTCCTATATGTTATCTGACCTCGCTTTCGCTCGGTCAGATACCATAGGAAGGACACGAGTTTCGTATAATTCGTATGTAATGAGACCTCGTGTAGTATTCTCTATTTATTACACATTGTGTAATAACATCGCGTGATGCCGTACGTATGACGTCAAAGTGGTTTACAGTTATGACGTCACAATGCTAATACTTCTGTCACAATAATATTAGACCTTGTTTGATTCGCGGAAAGTTGAGAGTCATCACACTCGTTGAATTCTTAGGAAAGAAGTCCTTTGCTCGATATTATTTTGCTAACGTTGTGTGAGTAATAAATAAAATACTAAACTATGTCCCGTGTAATACCATATCTATGAAACAAGTGAATGGTTTGGTATCTAACGAGCGAAAGCGTACTTCTTTCCTAAAAAAATTCAACGAGTGTGATGACTTTTAACTTTCCGCGAGTGAAGCAAGGTCTAATATTATTGTGACAGAGGTATTAGCAAGTGCAACTACCTCGGCAGTTTGAGAAATAGACACTGCCAAATCTAGAACAAACTTTATGGATAACAACTTCTTTTTTTATTCGTGAGTGCGACGTTTCGATACAGATTCTTGTGCCGTTGTCAAGCATTATGGAACATGAAGAAGGGGAAGTGTATATATACTGGATGTAACAATGTAACAAAGGAAACAACATAATTAACATAATTGGCTAGGCAGAAAGTTAAGACCGGCATCATCTCCACACTAACCAGAAGGGCCAAGAACATCTGCTCAACTAAACTACAAGATGAAATCGAACACCTCAAGAAAGTCTTCGTAGAACGTAACCACTTTCCATCCCAAATAGTCAACAGAACCATTGCTGCAACCCTGTCACCTCCTACCAAAAGACCCAAACCAGATTCAGCCCCCATCAAGATATCCATCCCCTACATTGGCAAACCGTCACATCAAATCAGCCGCCTCCTAAAACAACAAGCTGGCATAGATACCACCTTCTCCGCGTCCTCCAACCTTAACAACATTCTCCATGCCAATGGAAGAAAACCCGCCACCGTAAAGAACAACAACCCAAAATGTGTCATCTACAAATTAACTGTGATTGTGGGCAGAGCTACATAGGCGAAACTTCCCGACCCATCAACACCCGAGTGAAAGAACATCAGACCTCTGTTACCAATTCCGACAGCAAATCAGCCATTTCCGACCACATCAAAGCAAGCCCCAATCATCAAATAGAGTGGTCTGACATCACCATTCTCTCTAACAAACAAACAGACTTCACTAAACGCAAGCTCACCGAAGCCATCCACATCAAACGCCAAAAGCCCACCATCAACCGAGACCAAGGATACTTCATTCCATCCGCTTATGATGCACTCATCCACCAAGCCCAATCTACTGTATAAACTCTGCTGTATAAACATCTCATTATTATTTGTACATCATTGGCTTCCACGCCTGTCCTTTGTCTACTCTCTGGCTTCATCAGCTTTCTGCCTAGCCAATTATGTTAATTATGTTGTTTTCTTTGTTACATTGTTACATCCAGTATATATACACTTCCCCCTTCTTCATGTTCCATTATGCTTGACAACGGTACAAGAATCTGTATCGAAACGTCGCACTCACGAATAAAAAGAAGTTGTTATCCATAAAGTTTGTTCTATATTGTACTTCCCAACTTCTAAAATGCCACTCAAAGAAGACCCTGCCAAATGATGTCCAAATTTTTTTTATGCGTTTAAAAACAGTAAATTTCTCCGCATGTAAGGCACACCGATAAAAGCACTGTGCTACGAATTTTTTAATGTGGCATCTTTACGGAAAGTGTGAGCGAAGAATTTACAGCCTGATATCTGAACGACATATGTATATATGAAATGGGTTTATTTGCTTATGCATAACGTTATACGCTCAACATGAAAAATGACTCGCAATAAATGTCAAGAATGGATTTCTTCTATGACGTCAAACGACGACAGAGAGGTCATGCACGTATAAAGATAAGGGGGCATGACTCCGCTGTGCTTAACACTAGGTCAATGTAACTCACTTGGAGAGAATTTGTTGTGGATACGGACGCTATATTTTCGTTATGTTTTGTTCACCGTGAACCAGACTATTCCAATTCAAAGTTCCCCAATATGAGTGGATACGCTTTGGTAGTTTCACAACTTATGAGAAAAGATGACAACGTACTACATGTGAAAGCACGTAATAGCGATTTGGATGGCCCTATCTGATATATAAGTTAGTTCTTGGATTCCCATATTCTCCTGTTTGTGTAGAAATATTTTGACTAATTTTGCATCGTTATTACCAGAGTATTAGCCACATCTTCAAATGTAATGAAATTGCTGAAAATAATACATTTTAGTTGACGTCATTGCTTGTTTTATGCATTTTGCGACGTCGGAATAAGACGACATTGGTATGCTGATTAGTATATATCTCGCCTAATTTCAATTAATTGTATAAAGGGTCTCGGCTTCTATAGACAAAACATAAATGACTGATATTTTCCATTTAAATAGTGTCCTGAATACATCAATAATTAGACGGTTTGACTGTTTATCTTTTTGTGAGCAGCACGCGCACCTGTTTGGGATCAATTTAACGTAAATGAAAAACATTATTTCTCAACACCCGAATATTTTGTTTAGGATAAGAATTTTCTTTGTTTATGATTATGTAGTTATTTCTCTTCATAAGTATGCAATGAAAAATGACATATCTTTTTATACATGGAACTATATATACTCATGCCAATAATGGTTGTCACCCCAATTACAGATAATGCTACGCAGTGTAAAATCGGAATTTGTCTTTGTTTACATTTCAAACAAGC